GCTCTCCTAGTCAGCAAAAATACTGTAGTGCTATTCTGTGTGTGTTCCAGCCCCTAACAGGGAAAAAAAAAAAAACACCTGGCCAATGAAGAGACATTTTGGGACAGCAATAAATGCTGACAAAGGAAAAGAATTGTTTTCAGCATTTCTGGAATCTCAGCAACTTCTTTTGGTCTTTGGTAAGGGCTGCTGGTACCAAGTGTGCTGAACATTATCCATGTGGCATCCACTTTCTCTTCCAAAGAGCTGCACAGAAAAATTGACTTCAAACTGTCTATCAGGCCATAAACCCTCCCCTCTCACACCATCTTTATAAGGAAGTAAAAAAAAAAAAAGTATCAGAAAAGGACTGACTGCCAGCTTTATTTTAATAAGGTCAGTCCTTTAAAAGGTATCCAAAATTCACTCTCTCTTTTTCATTCATTCTTTTATTTTTAGTGCTATAAAGTTTTAATAATAGGCAATAAACTAAACAGTTCTATTGTCTGAAAAATGAAAAAAGATGTACAAGCTATCTGTGCACCTCCATAATCCATGCCATATGGCTGACCTTGCCATTCCCACTGCACACAGGATTCAGGTCATTGTTTCATTGTTCACTGGGGAAGCCAAACTATTGCCTCCAAGCACCCTCCTGACTTTCTTACCCTAGACAAGAGCTCAAAGAGCATTTCCAACACAAACAATTTTTATTCACCTCAGCTGCCCACATCTGAAAGGAAAGTGCTGTTGCTTGCCTTCAGCTTGGGGTTTTTTTCCTTCCGTCACCCTGCTGGGTTTCCTGACTGTTGTCCCTTCTGGCTTCCTCCTGGATAAGCAGCTCCCATAAGCATCCCACTGTCAAATGAACTTTACTCAGTCTCCAAAAATAGGCTCTGTGGCATTAAACCTGCACCCTCACTATCCAAACATTTGGCTAGCTGAGCTCCATATGTCCAAAATTCTGGTTCTCAATTTCTTGAAGTTCAGGAAAGCAACAGAGTAGTACCTGCCTTGTATATACATTACATAGGTACCCTTTCACCACCAGCACCGAATTTTGTTTCTCTTGCTCTTGCAGATAAAGCAAAGAGGGACCAAAAATCATGTAGAGGGAATCTCTAATAAGCAGGAACTAAGACTCAGCCTTCTAACAGAGGCTAACTCCCTAATCCATCAAGGCTAATGGCTAGATTTCTGAACACTATTAGTTAACACGGTTTGAGCGCTCCAAGACTACAAAACAATGTCCAGCTGCTGAGCTGTTTGCATCCTTCCCTCTGAAATACCTCATTGCTCCTTCTCCCAGTGAAAGGACTGAGGCAGCTGTAAAGGAAGACAACCATGAAAGCAACTGAAGGAGATCCAAGAAGGGATCCATGAAAAGATTGCTCCCCAGATGGATATAGGCAGTTATATGGTCATGGGGTGTCCCCAGGGCAGCAGGATTTTAACAGTCTGTTGTACTAACGAAGGCAGAGCACACTCATAAGGAAACATATGGGAAGGTTGTGAGCTGATGGAAGTGAAAGATTTAAAAGGGAAACTAGTTATAAAAACAAGTCAACCCCATAATTTCTGCAGGAGGCAACAACGGTGAAACAATAACAGAATAAGAAATAAATGAAGGAAAAACATCCATCTCCATTTCATAGAAAAGCCTCAACACAAAGCAAAAAGGAAACGTCCTAGGGAAGAAGTGGCCTGAGAGTTCCTCTTCTCCCACCATGCTCTGGTTTTTTCCAGTGGGTTTTCTTTACCTCCATCATTTGCTGGGAAACTCTAACCAAGGATCTGATTCGGTATCCCAATGTCACTGGGATATGATGCCCTGGAGCAGCATCAAATATTCTGTGGGCCCTGCTGCTGCCACACTATTTTTATTTTCTTTTTCCAGAAAACCTCTTGGACATATACTACACTTGCCTGCTTCACAAATGGCCCCTTTTTCAAATTACTCTGTTTCTTTTTCAAAGGAGGCTTGCATTTTCAGTGGGACACTCTCCAGCTACAGCCTGATGCACTGTACCTGACCAAAGTTGTTGTGGGGATGTGGGAAGCTACAGAGCATCACAATCGTCACTCCAGTTGACCAGTGACCCTGATGAGGTTAGAAAGTCACAAGGGGAAGGGGAGCCAACCAGCACAGTTAAGTCCCATTTGGAGAGTCCTTTCCACACACAGCTTGGACCTTAATGCTTTAGTCCCTCCTATATGTACATCTATGTACGTGCCCTCTTTAAAGGGAGCAGCTGAGCACTTGAGAGTCCTCCACTAGTTGACAACAGCAGTGCAACCTTAGCCAGACCACTGCTTGTGAGGCAGGCGTCTGACTGCTATATATGCTTGCAAATACCTTTGCCTGTTTTTTCTTCCTAAAGCCTCAGGCTGATCTCTTTGATGTGTAATACCTTAAAGATTTTAATTCCTCTTTACATCAGCAGAGAGCCTTACTGAGCTCTCCCCACAGCTGCAGCAGTGTAGCAATTTCCTGCCCTTTCTTAAATCAACGAGCTACAAAGATCAGTAATTCCCAACCTTTTCAGGAAACTGTCCAAATTCACTGGGCTAGGACCTTATTAATGCCTTCCACATTAATCTGGCCCACCATGTACCTGGAACTGCATCAGTCCCTATTCTAAGCCCAGACTCCAGTGCAGCTGTATCTTTGCACACAGGGAAGATGTTGTACTCTGGTCACATACTACTTCCCCTAAGCAGGAGAAAAGAGCAGAGTAAAAGTCACACATGCCTCAAGTACTAGAACTGATGCTCACAGTGGGAATTAAATAAGGAAGGTAAAATCTTTTCACATAGCTACATTAAGATGAGAACAGAGGAGCTGAGCTAGGAAGCCACTAGGTCAGTAAGATGTCTTCTTTATGGTCATGGAGACTGTAGCATTTACAGGGGTGATGGGAAACACGGGCAGTTGTCCATTTACTGAATGCCTCCCATACCAAACCATGAATGAGGTCCTGGTGAACACACAAGAGGAGCATGCAAGTAAAAACTGAATTATAGTGCCCATGGGGACAATGAGGGCCGTGCACATGAATTTCACTCTGTTCTGCACACTCAGAGCCTTGCTTTACAACCCTAGGGTTCTTGTAACGTGGTCATATATGTCTAATTCTGTAATTAATTTAGTGTTTAAAGCCTTTGTCAAGCTGATTTAAAGGTTACCCTCATCATTTAGATCTGAAAAATTTAGATCTGCTGCACACTCTGCTGGATTCATGGATGGCAGAAAAAGTTGACTTTTGTCAAAAAACTTTTTGTTTGGACTTTCTTATTCTTTTTTGATAACTCTGTAACACTTTTTACTAATAGAAAGGGGAGTTTAACTAAAGTTCCTGATTTACTATTACATTATTCTGAATAATATTTAAGATGTTCTACTTAATCCTTTCGTTAAAACCCTGACAAAATTAAGCAGCACGGTCAAAGTGAAACAATTTGACATCACTAGAGAAAAAATGAAATTCTTTGAAACTAGAACACTTTTGAACTTTTATCCTGCAAACCTCTCTGAAACTCAATTTTTTCTTCCAATGTAAAGCAAGCGTTTGTGCTCCAAGTTTGGGAATTTCCTGTGAAAATTAAAATTTAAAAATGCCCCTCAGCCAGCTCTACATTGTGTCCAGTTCTGGGTTCCCCAGTTCAAGAGAGACAGGGAAATACTGGAGAGACTCTAGCAGAGGTCTACTAAGATGATGAGGGGACAGGAGCATCTCTCCTATGAGGAAAGGCTGAGAGACCTGGGGCTCTTTAGCCTCGAGAAGGGCAGACTGAGAGGGGACCTTATCAACACTTACAAATGTCTAAAGGGCAGGTGTCAAGAGCATGGGGCCAGGCTCTTCTCAGTGGTGCCCAGTGCCAGGACAAGGGACAATGGGCACAAACTGGAGCACAGGAAGTTCCGCATGAACATGAGGAAAAACTTTATGTTAAGGGTGTCAGAGCACTGGAACAGGCTTCCCAGGGAGGTTATGGAGTCTCCTACTCTGGAGATATTAAAAACCCACCTGGATGTGATCCTGTGTGACCTGCTCTAGGTGAACCTGCTTTAGCAGGGGGAGTTGGACTAGATGATCTCCAGAGGTCCCTTCCAACCTCTACCATTCTGTGATGTAATAATGAACAAACAAAAGCATCTAGATCCCCTTTCTTAGAACTTTCATTATTTTGCAGAGTGTTAGCCTGTGACCTACTTGTCTGTTTCACAACCTGCAATCCTCCGTTTTTCTATCTCTCTTCTTCATTCTAGGTGAAAAAAAAAATTTAAGAAACTCTGCAGTATCTTTACAAGTTCATTTATTTTACCAAATTCTTTGATATGGTGGCATCATATCAGCAATACACGAACAGTTTACTGATAACTTATCAGAGATGTTAAAGAACATATCAATTGTGTTTCTCAACAATAAACTGAGAAGCTCAAAAGAATACAAAAATAGTAGAAATGAGCATAAATAAATTAATAATGCAGCAGGAAAAAAAAAAAAAAAAACAGCAAAGCACACGTACAGAAGAAAACAACCTTGAAAGTAATGCTAACAGAATGGGTACTGAGGTAGCAGTGAATGGGGAATTAAACATATGACAGCAAAAACATACGGCCATAGAAAAAAAATGTTGTTGAGGAGGAAAGTGATAAGCTGCATTTACAGGTATGTTGTTTAAGAATATCTAAACCCCTCTGTAAGGGTTTAACACTGCATGATCCAGGCAGAGGTAGGAGCATCACTGGAGAAGACTTCTGAAAAGAAATGGGGTCAGTCTAGCTGGCTAACCTGGAAAGTATTTTCTAAGGAAACCATCATTATACATTGGATCTGTTTAGGCAAAGTAAAACAGTCTTCCTAATTCCTCTAAGAACTAGTCTACAGCAAACTTCTCCTATAAAAAATAATTAGGATCACAAACCATCTTCCTCAGCCTTAGACACATGCCCTGTGCACATATCAGGGGAAGGAGACAGGAGATCAGAGAAGGAAATGCAAACAAGCTCTGCTTACCTGTTTCTCCCGGAATCTCTGAAACCTTTGGCAAAGGGGTTTCTGTCAATTTTTAATCTGGTGATCTACAAAGGAAGAAAAAGAGAATTAGTTGATCTCTCAAAATTTTTTTTCTTTCAACAAACGAAAATGGCTGACGATAACCACTCTTGCCCAAACCGCCTGTACAATGATCTTTCATACTTATTTCCCCGGACTTATATTAAAGTTGCCCTTATGTTGTCCATGAACAGATTATCTGCTTAGCAAATGAACGGTGCCGGAGGCAGAAACTTGGCAGCATTGAAAAACCAGGCACAATGCTGGGGCTGAGAAGCTGTTCCCAAAGGAGAAGAACGCCTTGGATGCAAGTGCAAAACCCCAAGAGCTATAATTCATCAGTGGCAGTGTGGTTCAGGACGCAGGCATACTGCTCACCTTGGGCTGGTGTCTAGGTTATCCCAGCCTCAACACTCTAGATATCCAGCAGCTGGATGCACTCATGGACCTTCAAACAATGCTGAGGAGAAAAAGCCAAGCCAAGCACAGGCTGCAACCTCCAAAGACAGCAGCTGGCCACCCAGTCATGTGCACAAGGTGCTGTTGTTCTGGTCAGCACCTGGGTGGCCCTTGAAGGGTTTTCTGGTATGGAAACCATTTGGGTTTTTTGGATTTTTTTTTTTCTTTTTTTTCCTCCTCTAAACAAAGAAGATGACATCCAGACTGAGTGCTTTGGGGGAGTCTTCCTTCCTGCTTTATTTTTAGGCATGAATTCCATGTTGGTAAATATGGAAAAGAATACTGGGATTTTGACCTTGCAGCCCATGGTATCATACTCCCTGTCAGCTATTCCCCAGCCTGGTGCAGCACAAGAGCTTCCCTCTGTCAGCCTTACCTTATCCCTGTCTCTGGAGTGAAAAGAGAGCAAGATCTCCAGATCTTATAGAATTTGAAGTGTTTTTTCTGAAACTGCTCAAAAGGGACTAGTTTAATATAGACTGATCTGAAGCGGATTTGCAGGTCTTTTGCTTCTGTCAGAACCAAGCCCTCACTCTGGATATTAACCTCAGATATGGAATGCAGCTCCTATTTTTGCAGAAGCTTAATTTGTGAACTTAATTTCCGCTAGCCTGACTTTGCAGCTGTCCTGGGACTTGTGTGTACAGAGACAGATATGTTCTGTGGAGGATGGAATTACAGCAGAGGGAATCCCTGTGGTGGGTTTGCTAACATTTTACAATTGTTTCCAGAGACGCTTCTCCCAGTAAGGCAAAGTTTTACAGCCACTGGAGGGCATGAAGGCAGATTCAGGGTTTTTAAAATTATTTTTCATGAGAAGATTTCTCCAACCCATCAAAAATCTCCTTTACTTGTATTATAAAAAAACACCCTCCAATTTTTCTGGGGGAAAAAATGCCCAAATGTTTGGAATTCAGAGAGACGAGGAAATTTCAGTGCCTCTTTACAGGGAGGAGACTTATAGAGCTACTGTCTGATAGACATCCCTCCCTTAGCACCTCCCTTACCTGCAAAATTATGACTTATAAGTGGTCATTAGGGAAGAACGATAGGCTTCTTTCCAGTCATTTCTTCTCCTTTCTCTATCCTCTTTCCACATCTGGTCTACACTTAAAAGTTTGTGGAGTACATGTATTTGGACAAGGGTGGCAGGAAATTTCAAATACTGCAGTGACAGCAAACCCACAATTGTGTTGCAGTATTTTTTTCTGCTGGAATAGTTAATCCGTTCTGGGTCCTGATTTAAGTCAATTCAAGGGGACCAGACAGAGAAAAAGTTAGGAGTGGGCATCCAGCAGCAGTCCTGGGAGCACTGTAAGCAGGTATGCTCTCCCTTATATGTTGCAAAATATAAACTCTAACAATTCACTGAATTGTTACAATTCACAGTTGTTACAAATTGGCTAAATATTACAGTCTTCCTTGAGCTGACTTCACATGGGTCTGTCTTTCAAGTCCAAGAATAGTAAATATAATGACGTCCACTGAGTCCATGAAATCATTCTCCAGAAGCACAGATGTTGTCATGGTAAAAATAGTTACTTCACCGTTTCTGATTCAAGACTCCTCTGCAATTTGTGGCAGAAGATTGTATAACTTATTTCCCTAACAGGCTTGATAACAGATTATTTTTCTTCCAAGCCTGTTTGTACCTTCATTCTAGCTTATAACAGTACCTTGCGCTAAGTGGCCACACTATTAACACAGCGAAAGGGTTCATCAACTAAGATTCTGTTTCACGTGGCTGGGAAAAAATTACCTTACGCAGATGTTTTAATGACATCAAAATCCCCACCCCAGTAGGGAGGAGAATGGCAGGAAAGGGAAATGGGATGTGCCCAGTACCACTCACCCGAGAATAAAATAGGGATTATGTGTACATGAACAACAGAAAGAGCACACTAACCCCAAAGCATGACAGAAGTGGTATGAAGGCTAATGGGAATCCCCGAGGCAGAGGTACCTGACAGATGGGAGATGCATAAGGAGCTGGAAGATGAGCAATACATAGGAGACTACAAAGGGAATTAGTAGATATAAGGAGCTCTCAATATGTGCAATGAACATGCCTGCAGAAGCAATGAAGCAGGCCACCTCCTCGAAGACCAGGACACTGTCTTTCACTGGCCACTGAAGGAGAAGGGGGAGCAAATGTTTGTAATACACAGCAAGGCCTTTCCAAATCTTCCTTTTTTGCTGCTGTCTCATATGCTTACATTCTCAAATGCTCACATTTTCCTAGTAATTAATTTGCTCTTAAAGATATCATATCTTTGGGGAAAATAAGGATAGACGGGGAAATGTGTATTCAAACGCTAGTGTGCACGGAGATTACATTTCTTAGTGTCGTGAAGTCTAGTTTAAGAAAAAGGGCAGATGAGTAACAAAGCTCAGTAGTCAAGGTCTCTACGGATAGAATCCCACTGTGGCAACATCTTTTCTTTATGATTTCTGGAGTCAATGGCAGCACTCTTCACTGGGAACTGTGCATGATCTGAATCAAACATGAATTATGCATGAGAATTTCAGTTCATATGCAATACATGGACTGCTGCTGCTTATGTTCAAAGGCTTCTTTTGTCAGCAAATTGATGACATTGTCCTTCTCTAAAACTTCTCCCTTCACTGCTAAAAAAAGAAAAACAACTATGTGTTTTATCTGAGAGATAACAGATCCGGACTAGTTGTACTGTCTTAAAATTACAGTGCAGACAGAACACTATAGTTTGCACAATGAGACAGCAAGGAAATATGAACACAATACATCTCTTTATAGTTGATCTCATCTACTTACTTTACAATAAAAACTGCAGGCACCTTATCTGCAAGGTGGTTTTCTGCCTAGATACTTCATGTCCACACACCACTCTATTGCAAGAACTCTCTTTTTGTGCCGAAAAAAAAAACAGTGAGCCTGTAAAGCATACACTCCTCTTGAGCTATGTTTCTTAGCTAAGTTAATGTCTCAGACATGAAGAGCACACTGATATTTTTATGAACATCAAACACAAAAGGAGCCTGAAGGCACTCAGCTTTACCTGTTGATTTTGGTAGGCTGTCACTGTGGTGAAAACTGTCTCAGGGAAGTTGAAGGTTTTCACCCCATCTCCTGAAGGAACTGGCTTTGTAGGAGAAAGATCACTGCTGAAATCCTTGCGGATGACATGAACACGGGGCTGGTACTTATGCATTGAATGTAAGATTATCTGAAGAGAAAATAAAAGGAGAAGGAAAAGGATTATTTTCTTCCCCAAATATTCTACATTACAATCACATGCACAAGGAAGCAGGGATGGAGTAAGGGCTAACATGAAGAAAATTACTCTTTTCTTACAAGCACATATGAGACAAAGTTTGTGCTACGTGAGGAGAGAAAGGGGCTTTATTGCTTCATAGTGTCAACATCAGGCAACATTTTGAGGAAAAGCACTGAAGTAGGGAAAAAATGCTTCCTAACTCTGGAGAGTGACTACAGACACATGTGCCTGGCAGGACATAGGAGCATCAAAGCAGCAGCAGCAGCACTCTTTTGAGTCTGAGAGGAGCAAAGCTAGGGCAGCAGGCACCAGGTCTAGCTTTTAACTTACATGGCCTTGATCATCAAGCTCGTTGTTGGTCAGCTTGAGCTTGTCAAAACTGACAACCTGCCTCATCCAGGTGTCTCCAGAAGCCAGGGAGTCAGGGTGGATGTAAACCCTCGGGGGCACTGGGGAGTCAGCATTACCAGCCACCATCCACTTGGAGCTGTGATACACATACCTGAAAAGGAATGGGAGATGACTAAGGGAAGTCATCACTCACTCACTCACACTCACACTCACTCTCACTCTCTCACTCACTGGAGAAACATTTGCAGGGTTCCTCCTCCCCTGCAACCCTACCACACACACCCCAAGCTCTCATTTGCAGTCAGGGGAGAATGTGCTTTATTGCAACCTCCTACCTTCTAAATGAAAGCCAGATTACCCCTAAGCCACTTGTTCAGACTTGATTCCTTATTAAAACCACCTTTGCAGTTATTTTCTCTGTAAAACTCTGCCACATGTGCCTTCTCAACTCCTTAACCCTCTCTGAGCCAGAGTAAGAGGCTAGAAAATATGGGTAAATAAAGCCCTCTGAAAATACTAACAAACGCCCTGTAATTTCTGGAAATCTGCACTGGCTCCCATGCTAGATTGTGCAAAACACATGTCTCTTCACCCAGAAAGGGCAAAATCTAATGGACACCACTAGAAAAATTAATAAAACAGAATTTCTGGTTTGAAATATTGTAAAATAGGAAATTCCATATAGTATTACGAATGTTGGGATTAAAAGGAAAAAATAATTTTTTGTGTTCCTGATCTTTTGTGTTCCTGATCTAGTCATCCTATATCTGCCATAAATTTCTCCACAACAGCTTTGCCTAGACACTTTTTTCTTTCTGTCCTGTGGCTTCTTCAGCCTAAGGCATTTCACACACAGTCCTGCTAACACCTCTGAGTTCTGCCCTGTGCTGCCCCTCACTGGGTCTCTACTTAGCTCTGTTAAGCTGTTTCAGTCCTTACCTACAAACAGTGATTCATTTCCTGTATTTTCACAAGAAATGCAAAAAAAATGAAACTGTTCCTTTCGCTGCTAGTTTACTCTATGTAGCTGCACAAGCTAACAAGGACAGAAACAACGTGTAAGACAATATATTTATTGCGGTCAGAACCACACTCAAAGAAAGGGGAAAAACCTCTAGCTGAGTATCAAACACTACCTTGATGCTTCCCAGGAAAAGCATTTTCCTGAGAAACACTCTCCACAATGTGAGAGCAAAAACGTAGAATTTAGCATTTGAAAGAGAGGATCAGTTCTAATCCTTGAAATGTGGTGCAGTCAAAACTATTTGGGAAAAAGACTTGGTCCAGGGGTCTTTTAATGAATATTAATAAATCAGCTCTGTCTGGATAGTTTTCTGGGATGCAGAGGACCATGAGTTTTCCAGACTACTTTCTAAGATCAGAAGACCTTTAATATCAGAGGAATCTCTTCCTGTCTCTCAGGTCAGTGGTGGAGATTCACCAGAGTGTTTCTCAATGGCTCCAGGCTTTAGGTCAGGGCCCATATCCCCTGTGGCTGCTATGCTGGACAGTGAACGCTTTTAAAACAAAAGTCGTCCAATTCAGTTCAGGCCAGACCTGAGGTGCCCATCTTAGTTCAGCTGCTGTTTGTCCATTCCTTTCTTGCTGAAGTAGTTCTAGAGGCTCCAGAGTCCTCATTGATAACTCCAGTTATTGGTTCCCTCAGACAGTCGCTGCTAGTCGTGTCAATTGTGAAATGCATGCTAGGGATCTCCCTAGTTAAAAACTGTTATTTGGAAAGAGCAAGACTTCAATCCAGAAGTGCAAGAGAGTATGTTAAACCTCTGGGTTTGTGTCTCATGATTCTGATCAAATCAACTATGTTGGTGTAAATCAAAATGGTCTCCTCCAGCATATGTTTGCAATGGTGTATAATGGCATCTGTCTTTCCTAGGCTGTTACTGACAGTAAATTATCACAAAGTTCCTACCTCTGCACCTAAAAAGCTTACCTGTATCTCTTGTTATCCACAGGCACAATGTCCATGGCAATATAATATTGCTGGTGGGGATCCAAGCCTGTAATTTTCACTCTCATGGCTGGAAACATTCTCCTGAGAATATAAGAGTAGAAATGAGGAAGAAAATGGTGAATAAGGAAGCTGATGGGGCTCCTTAGACCTCTCTCTGACACTAGGAGCATGCTACTTTACATAGCCAATTTCTTGGCATGACTTCTCTGGGCTTGGCATGGGTAGCAAAGACTGTGCTGGCAGTGGTTTGAATTTTCAAATTGTTCCCACTTAAGAAAAGGGAGAACAGGATAACAATCTGTGGGTAACAATAAAACACTCTCAGCTGAGCACTCTATCTGTTCCAGCTCCTAGCAGACACTTCTCCTATGCTCCACACAAATTGTGCTCCCTAGGCTTTTCCAGGGTGTGCAGTGTACCTCCTTGCAGATGACAGCAAGCTGGGTGGAAGTGTCAATCTGCTTGAGGGTAGAGAAGCTCTACAGCAGGATCTAGACAGGCTGGATTGCTGGGCCAAGGCCAATCCCATGAGTTTCAACAGGGCCAAGTGCCGGGTCCTGCACTTCAGCCACAACAACCCCCAACAGCGCTACAGGCTAGTGTCGGGAGAGCTGCCAGCCAGAGAGGGACCTGGGAGCGTTGATTGACAGCCGGCTGAACACGAGCCAGCAGTGTGCTCAGGTGGCCAAGAAGGCCAATGGCATCCTGGTCTGTGTTGTCAGCAGGAGCAGGGAGGTGATCATTCCCCTGTACTTGGCTTTGATGAGGCCACACCTCGAGTGCTGTGTCCAGTTTTGGGCCCCTCTCTACAAGAAGGACATTGAGATGCTGGAGAGGGTACAGAGCCGGGCTACCAAGCTAGTAAAGGATTTGGAGCATGTCTTGTATAAGGAACGACTGAGGGATCTGGGGCTGTTTAGTCTGGAGAAGAGAAGGCTGAGGGGAGACCTTATTGCTCTGTACAACTACCTGAGAGGAAGTTGTAGTGAGGCGGGGGTCGGTCTCTTCTCCCTAGTAACAAGTGATGGTACAAGGGGAAATGGCCTTAAGCTGCACCAGGGGAGGTTCAGGCTGGATATTAGGAAGAATTTCTTTACCGAAAGGGTTGTCAGGCATTGGAACAGCCTGCGCAGGAAGGTGATGGAGTCACCATTCCTGGAGGTGTTTAAGAGACAGGTAGATGTTGTACTTAGGGACATGGTTTGGTGGTGTTGACAGAATTAGGACAAAGGTTGAACTCGTTAATCTTGAAGATTTCTTCCAGCTGAAACTGTTCTATGATTCTATGATTCTGTGATTCTTGGTACTGCTTTTCCTGCTGGCCGTCCATCTATAATTATTCTCTCATATTCCATTAAATGCAGGATCACTTCAGTTCTCTTTTTTGAGAAAATCATATTTCAGTATAGAGTTTGATAGTACTGCAGTAATATTTAAAGCAGATCCATCATCCTGAAAGATCCTCTTACCCTTATGCTTGTAGTTATTTAAGAAAAAATGTCCCTCAGTCTACTTATTAAGCATGTATTTCACATTTAACAGAAACACTGGCATTGTCATCATGGTTTCCTTGAAGTCCTGGTAGTATTTTGTGCAATCTTTTTCATAAGTGTTGTCTTTTCTACATCGTATGATCCAGATCTGTCTTATGCGTTTTCTCTTGATAGGCAAGTTAGGAAACTCTACACCAGCAAGAATCAATTCCCAGCCTTTGTTTTCTTGTCTGATCACAAGTTTAGCTCTGCCGTGCACTAGTCACTGTTCTGGAGGTGTTGGTAGCTAGACAATTATTTCATAAAAGAACAGCTCAGTACAATTTTAACCTCAAAGCATGTCAGTGTTAGTATGGCTATGGTGTAATTACTCCTGAAAAAATTTCTGATTGCCAGCAGTCCAGTTGCCATTCTACGCTTCCTTCAAACAGCATGCTGAGTGAATTGTTTATGCCATATTATATTTGCAACTAACGTGGTATTTTAATATCTTCATAAAATCTGAGGAGCAGAACTGGGTGAAGCGCAAAAGGAAACGAGCAGCAGAGCAGAGCACTGAAAGAAATCCTGTGTTTTGCTGTTAACTCAAACCTGAGCTTTACTTGAGTGGCTTCTCAACCCTTATCTGAGAAAACCTTGAGCTGAGGTCCTACGAGATGGTGTTACTCTATTGCATGACTTCTGCCCAGAAGATACAGAGCTTTGGTAGGACACACTCTGAAAGTACTGGATGCTCACATGGAATTACATTCTGCTTCTCTGAGAAGTAAACATATACTTATGGAATGAGTCTAGTTTGGATGGGACAATATTAAAGGGGAATTTAAAACCACAACGACAAAATCATGGAAAAGTGTACAAGAAATGTTTGCCTGCTGTTTCTAGGGGCCATCCCTAGAAACTATCATGAAACTTTGCTTTCTATTTAGTGAGGAGCAGTCAAATGTCAGAGAAGATTTAGATGTCCTCCCAAAATTTCTGTATCTCAAAATATCACCAGTGGACACAACCTGGAGGAGGAAGAAAACAGGAATGTTTATGTCAACATCTCCAAACATGTAGCTCAAACTTTGCACTGAAGGGACACAACCACAAGAAGCTATTTTATTCTTTCTCATCCAGGCCACATATATCCACTTGCAGAAAAGCATGGGAAGGAAGAGGTTGGTGCTCAGCCTTTGTCCTACCTGCAGCTCTTCCGTTTCAGGTCACTGAGAAGGAAAGCTCTGACAACTGCATCTACCTCAGAAAAGGACATTTGTCGTGGGGGGCGGGGTCAGCACCACCCCACAGCTGCAGGAGCGCAGCTAACCCAAGTTACGAGAGATATAAAACTATCAGAAAAATTGTCTGCAGAAACCCTTCAAGGAGAGAGCAGATTTGTCCAACTGATGGTGTAAGTTTGCTAGCTGAACGAC